TTCAGCCTAAGAGACGCGTCCCTTACTATTGAATTTTCATGAATTATTTATAACCTGGGCGATGTGATTTGAATAATGACGTTAATTAGATTAGGTTAATTAGGGATCACGGCCGGCTGAGGCAAGTTCGAGAACAAGGCGAAGTTTTAGTGCCTGTTCTGGACCAAGATCGTGTGAGTGAAGCAAGTGAAAGACACCATCATTCACGAGTCAATTGGCAGTGTATTAGCACGTTGTGTCATGGAATAATCTTCCACTTGGCTCCTCTCGAAAATTTACACTAATTTGAGTGCGTTATATCTCTAAATTTTGTTCTCCGTATACAACAAATTGCGTCGAATTTGTTGCGAAACGAAACGATCTAAAGATGAAACACAAAGACAAATAAAAAACATGAGGTAAGGAAATGATCTGAGGGAAAAGGAAAAAAAATTAGCAACCTAGAGGCAAGTGAGTACACAACTCCTTGGCTTTTGAGATCTTGTTTTTGTTGTTCTCGTCGACATTCTTACACAAGCAGGTACGAAGCATGAGAATACCAACAGCGTCTTCGGAGGTCCCGGGACGTCCGGGGGGGAGTCCTCTGTCGCGACCTCAGGAGCCGAGCCGAAGACGTCTTAGGCCTCCTCGGCGTGCTCCTCCTCGTCCTCGTACTCTTCCTCGGCGGTGGCGTCCTGGTACTGCTGGTACTCGGACACCAGGTCGTTCATGTTGGACTCGGCCTCGGTGAACTCCATCTCGTCCATGCCCTCGCCGGTGTACCAGTGGAGGAAGGCCTTTCGACGGAACATGGCGGTGAACTGTTCTGAGATGCGGCGGAACAACTCCTGGATGGCGGTGGAGTTGCCGATGAAGGTGGCGGCCATCTTGATTCCTCTGGGGGGGATGTCGCACACGGCGGTCTTCACGTTGTTGGGGATCCATTCCACGAAGTAGGAGGAGTTCTTGTTCTGGATGTTCAGCATCTGTTCGTCGACCTCCTTCATGGACATGCGGCCTCGGAACACTGCGGCGACGGTGAGGTAGCGGCCGTGGCGGGGATCGCAGGCGGCCATCATGTTCTTGGCGTCGAACATCTGCTGGGTGAGCTCAGGCACGGTGAGGGCGCGGTACATCTGGGAGCCGCGGGAGGTGAGGGGAGCGAAGCCGGGCATGAAGAAGTGAAGTCGAGGGAAGGGCACCATGTTCACGGCCAGCTTGCGGAGGTCAGCGTTCAGTTGGCCGGGGAAGCGCAGGCAGGTGGTGACGCCAGACATTGTGAGGGAAACGAGGTGATTCAAGTCGCCGTAGGTGGGAGTCGAGAGCTTAAGGGTCCTAAAGCAAATGTCGTAAAGGGCTTCGTTATCGATGCAGTAAGTTTCGTCTGTGTTTTCTACGAGCTGATGGACTGACAGGGTGGCGTTGTAGGGCTCAACTACGGTGTCGGATACCTAGAAAAGAGGAACAAAAGAATTGTAAATACAATTGATGAATACAAAAAAGTTTCGCTCTTACAGAAGAGTGAAAAATATAATTTCACGACAATACCGCAAAAAATAATCAAGTCCATTATCAAATAAGCACAAGGACCATTACGAACCTTAGGGCTAGGCACAACTGAGAATGTGTTCATAATACGGTCGGGGTATTCTTCGCGAATCTTGGAGATGAGCAGCGTGCCCATGCCAGAGCCAGTGCCGCCCCCGAGCGAGTGTGTGAGCTGGAAGCCCTGCAGGCAGTCGCATCCCTCGGACTCCTTACGGACCACATCCAAAACGGAGTCCACGAGCTCAGCGCCCTCTGTGTAGTGCCCCTTGGCCCAGTTGTTGCCGGCTCCGCTCTGACCTGTAGGAGTGTCTCTATTAGTAACTTACAAGGAATCAGAACTCATTGTTTACCATTGCTTGTAAGAAAAGAAAGAGAGAGAGAGAGAGAGAGAGAGAGAGAGAGAGAGAGAGAGAGAGAGAGAGAGAGAGAGAGAAGAGAAGAGAGAGAGAGAGAGAGAGAGAGAAAGAGAGAAAGAAAAAGAAAGAAAGAGAGAGAGAGAGAAGAAAGAAAGAAAGAAGAAAGAAGAAAGAAAAAAAAAAAAAAAGGCGTCAGTCCTTGTATATATCACCCACACGTTCTACGCCTGAGTCTGTTAAAAGTAACTTCCCAGTTCCTTACCGAACACGAAGTTGTCTGGTCTGAAGAGCTGACCGAAGGGACCGGACCGGACTGAATCCATGGTGCCGGGTTCGAGGTCCACGAGGATGGCACGTGGAACATATCTGAAATTAAATGACATAGACATTACAATTAGAAAAGTCAAATTTCAATAGACATTAGAATTAGAAAATAGAAAAGTCAACCTTCAGAAGATCAGATAAGATGTATTATTAGTAATATTAGGCTATGATACACTAACACCCAACGGTCAAAAATTTTACGACCCAAACGCTACGATTCTCTTATTTTATCATCCGGAAATCTTAAAGTCTTCGGAAACTGCAATGTTGTTAACGAAATCGTACCAAGCAACAAGGCCAAATAAGGGTCTCCATGAAATACGATCCTTAGACCCTTTCATTTTTGTTTTTGTTTTGTTTTTTTTTTCAGGCTGCCCAACAACAAAGACACACACACACAACACACACACACACACATACACACACAACACACACACAACCACACACACACCACACATACACAACAGCTACCCGCCAACCACACAACACACCATTATATACAAACAAACATACCACATCCACCCACTACTACATGCCCACACACACACATAACAGAACACACACACACATACCCCCCACACACCCACACACACACCCCACCCCACACACACATACCCCCCCATCCCACCCCAACACACATACACAACCCACCCACCCACACACAACACCTCACCCCACAACACACACATAGGGCCACACACATACCCCACCACACACCATACCCCCACCCCACACACACATACCTCCACCCCCCACACCCACACACACACACACATCACGCCCACACACATACCCCACCCCACCCACACACACACGACTCCCCCTTGCTGCACTTACTTGCCACCGGTCGCTTCATTGTAGTACACGTTGACCAGCTGCTCGCCGCGCCCGTTGGTCGAGATGATCTCCCAGTGTCGCCGCGGTAGTGCCGACCGGTTTGCGACTGTGTTGCGTCCACTTGCGTGGTTGCGTTTGTCGGGAAGGAACCTGCGTAATGTATAATCCATCCATGCGAATTGTGGAAATGCGTAAATGCGTAATCCACTGGACCGGGAATGCGTAATCCACTGGACCGCGTTGCGAATAAAAATGGCATGATGATCTCCCAGAACTGCCGGGAAAGGAAACGCTTTATGAAATATTCCAATCCATGAATTATAAAAGGGAACGTGTAATCCACTGGACTGCGTTGCGAATAAAAATGGCATGGCGGGAGGGCAGTACCTACAGATGGAGATATCGCATTTTACTTAATTATACGCGTCGCTATCAAGTTCCTGCACGCACTTGAGTCGTACAGGTAAATTCCGTAGCGTTTATTAAGGCATGCGATATATTAACGCGATATATTAATGCGATATATTAATGCACTTTTATCTGTATTTTTTTATGACTAGACTTGTGACTGGATGAGGTGATATGTATTAATATAAACCCACAGGATGATGAAGGTGTAAGGAAGAAAAGATTGAGGAAGAGGAAGAGGAAGAAAAGAAACGAATAATTCGGATCATTTCAATAAGGTCACGGCGCCCTCGTGCAATTGAGAATGAGATTGCAAGGGATAGATGGATAGGGTGACAGGACGACAGGAAATCCGAGGACGTCAAACGGAATAACACACTGGATACGGAGCACAAGTGGTGTCAGTCCCCCTGCCGGCGGTGGTGGCAGGGGCGTGGGCGGGGGTCGGCATCCTGGGGAGAGTAGCGAGGGCGAGAGAAGGGTTGGGGGAAGAGGGAGATGACGTGGCTTGCGAGGATGGCAGGATGCTGCGCGAGGGACAAGTCATGAGGAGAGATTGATCCCTGTGTTCAAGCCGGGTTGCTGGAGAATAAAAATCTCCTCGAGAAGGGGAAGTCAACAGCCGGGGATCAAAAGCATGACAATCGCATGCCAAGGTTGTTTATGGCCCCCCAGGCCTTTTGTCGATCGTTAGAGAGATTGATTGATGGCAACGTCGGGGCCTGGGAGAAGGGGTGGGGCGGAGCCGAGCTATTGCCCACGCAGAAGGGGAGGGCGGGGAAGGGGCGGGGGTTGACTTCCTGCAACTTCCTCCACCTGTGATAAGGCTTCTGCTTTGATCACATCACCTCGGTTCCCCTTAGAGGGTCGGCGCCCCCCCCGGCACAGGTAGGACGGGTGGGGGGGTAGGGGGGCGAGATAAGGCTCAAGGGCGGGGCTGACGAGGGTGAAGGAGGCGGCGAGGAGGGAGATAACTAGGATATGACACGGGGAGGCGGGAGGGCGGCAGCTGTCGTGCAGAATGTGCAGAGCAGGTGCGTGGGCGAGGCTGCGGGAGGACGGGGCTCGGAGAGTCAAGAAACGCCCCTGAAGAAGAGGGAGGCCAAGATGAGGCCGAATAATAAAATAAATAATAATAAAATTAAATAAAATGTACTAGTCAATTGTTATTATCAAACCGCGTCAGTAATTCGGTACAGCTGTTTACGACCCAGGTGGAGGAATAACGCGGAAAAGATCGAAATAAGGGGTAAAAGGGGGGGAAGTAGGAGGGAGCAAGGGGAGAAACGAGAGGGGTCGTTTCAAACGGTCAATACTGCTGTTTCCCTAGTCCCCCCCGACCTCTCCTCCCCCCCCCCCCCTGCTGGGTCAATACAGTTTCCAGATCGCCACGCTCCCGTTATGGCAGGGTCTGTCATCGAGCAACACGTGCTGGGCCAATAACTCCTCCGTCACTCCCTCTGCTCATTATCTACCTTGGCGAGGGGCGTCACAGGCTCAGGTAACACAAACAAACGTGCATGTAATCTCCGGCTTGAGGCTAAGCAGCAACGCCAGTGAAAACATTAGTATCCCTGGACACAATTAGCGTAAAAAAAAAAAAAAAAAAAAAAAAAAAAAAAAATTAGTATCCCTGGACACAATTAGCGTAAAAAAAAAAAAAAAAAAAAAAAAAAATTCTTTCTCCTTCCAGATTCGTTAGATTTGTTTGAGCAAGCAGATGCGAAGACTGATAACGCGTTCCCTAATTATGTCAGTTATTTTTAATGCTACGTAATCCAAGTAGATTTAATCCGTGATGGGACTGAGAGATTACACTGCAGAGTCTAAGATGTATTTGTTTCTACAGCAATGGAATTCTAAACATTGGAGAAATCAGTCTATGGGTTAAAAGAAAACTTTACGAATAAACAGTATAAACAAACCCGGTTTTCTCACTTTTAACTCGTTTATCGCATTAACTTATCAACATTAATTGCCTAAAAACACCTTAAAGCGTGGATATGAAAATACCGTCACTGTTCATCTTCTCGTAAAATCTCGGAAAACGAGAAAAAAGTACATACTGTCAAGAATCGTTTCCATATCCGATGACCCATCCGAAATCTAGCTAAATTCTTCTAAATCTATCACGATAAAGTCCCCTTTTCGTATTCAAGTCCTATCTCTTTTTCTTTTCGTAGCTTAATTCTTCTCAATCCATTAAAGTGAAGTCCCCCTCTTCGAAGGCAAGTCCTATCCCTTTTTCTTTTCGTATCTTCGTAGCTTAATTCTTCTCAATCCATTAAAGTCAAGTCCCCCTTTTCGCATGCAAGTCCTATCTCTTTTTCTTTTCGTATCTTCGTAGCTTAATTCTTCTCAATCCATTAAAGTCAAGTCCCCCTTTTCGCATGCAAGTCCTATCTCTTTTTCTTTTCTTAATTCTTCTAAATCCATCACGATAAAGTCCCCTTTTCGTATGCAAGTCCTATCTCTTTTTCTTTTCGTATTTTCGTTGCTTAATTCTTTTAAATCCATTAAAGTGAAGTCCCCCTCTTCGAAGGCAAGTCCTATCTCTTTTTCTCTTCGTAGCTTAATTCTTCTTCTAAATCCATTACGGTAAAGTCCCCTTTTCGCATGCAAGTCCTATCTCTTTTTCTTTTCGTAGCTTAATTCTTCTAAGTCCGTTAAAGTGAAGTCCCCCTTTTCGTATTCAAATCCTATCTCTTTTTCTTTTCGTATTTTTCGTAGCTTAATTCTTCTAAATCCATTAAAGTGAAGTCCCCCTTTTTGTATGCAAGTCCTATCTCGTTTTCTTTTCGTATTTTCGTAGCTTAATTTTTCTAAATCCATATAAGTCCCCTTTTCGCATGCAAGTCCTATCTCTTTTTCTTTTCGTAGCTTAATTCCTCTAAATCCATTAAAGTGAAGTCCCCCTTTTCGAAGGCAAGTCCTATCTCTTTTTCTTTTCGTATCTTCGTAGCTTAATTATTCTAAATCCATTAAAGTGAAGTCCTATCTCTTTTTCTTTTCGTATTTTCGTAGCTTAATTCTTCTTCTAAATCCATTAAAGTGAAGTCCCCCTTTCGTATTCAAGTCCTATCTCTTTTTCTTTTCGTATCTTCGTAGCTTAATTCTTCTAAATTAAAGTCCCCCTTTCGTATTCAAGTCCTATCTCTTTTTCTTTTCGTATCTTCGTAGCTTAATTCTTCTAAATCCGTTAAAGTCCCCCTTTTTGTATTCAAGTCCTCTCTCTCTTCCTATCCGCTGCCATTTCAACGCGAGTGGGCGTCGGTTCCCCAACATCGCAAGTTAAATAACAAAAGTCCACTGCGGGTTCAACTTTCTGCAGCAGTCGGGTCGTCGAGGCGGAAGGTGGCATGGTGGATCAATAGCCCCACAGAGAGGACTCCCCTTCTACCCAGCTTGCCACGCCCTCTGCCATACCACGGCACCACGTGTGAACTCTCTCTCTCTCTCTCTCCCTCAGGCTATATATCTTGCTATCTACCTTTATATCTATCCATCTCTCTCTCTCTCTCTCCTCTTCTCTCTTCTCTCTCTCTCTCTCTCTCTCTCTCTCTCTCTCCTCTCTCTCTCTCTCTCTCTCTCTCTCTCTCTCTCTCTCTCTCTCTCTCTCTCTCTCTCTCTCTCTCTCTCTCTCTCTTCTCTCTCTCTCTCTCTCTCTCTCTCTCCCTCTCCTCCCTCAGGCTATATATCTTGCTATCTACCTTTATATCTATCCATCTCTCTCTCTCTCTCTCCCTCCCTTCCTCCCTCTCTCTTCCTTGCCAAAGATGCTGTCCCAGGAGTACGCGACGTATGGTGTACATGCCCTAGTAAAGTGCGCTGAATTGAGTGCCGCCCCAACGCCATCCTACTTGCCCACCACACCCCTCTCGCGCAGATTTGCCGGGGCGCCGTGTCTCGAACGTCAGACTCGACTTCCTGGGATTGTCATCAGGAGCTGGCTCTTCCGCCGCGGCTCACAATACGGATGGAGTAACCGTGGCTCCGGGTGGGATCTCGTTTCGTGTGGTTTTCGTCTTGATTTAACTTTTACTGTATTCCACTCGAGAAGTATACTAAACTGTATTCCACCTCGAGAAAGTATACAAAGAATGTTAAACTGCATTCCACCTCGAGAAAGTATACTCTGTCGAGAAAGTATACAAAGAAGATGGTTAAACTGTATTCCACCTCGAGAAAGTATACAAAGAAGATGGTTAAACTGTATTCCACCTCGAGAAAGAAGATGGTTAAACTGTATTCCACCTCGAGAAAGTATACAAAGAAGATGGTTAAACTGTATTCCACCTCGAGAAAGTATACAAAGAATGTTAAACTGTATTCCACCTCTACAAAGAAGATGGTTAAACTGTATTCCACCTCGAGGAAGTATACAAAGAATGTTAAACTGTATTCCACCTCGAGAAAGTATACAAAGAAGATGTTAAACTGTATTCCACCTCGAGAAAGTATACAAAGAATGTTAAACTGTATTCCACCTCGAGAAAGTATACAAAGAAGATGGTTAAACTGTATTCCACCTCGAGAAAGTATACAAAGATGGTTAAACTGTATTCCACCTAAGTACAAAGAAGATGGTTAAAATTCCACCTCGAGAAAGAAGATGGCTAAACTGGTCCACTCGAGAAAGTATACAAAGAAGATGTTAAACTGTATTCCACCTCGAGGAAGTATACAAAGATGTTAAACTGTATTCCACTCGAGAAAATATACAAAGAAGATGGTTAAACTGTATTCCACCTCGAGAAAGTAAACTGTATTCCAAAAGAAGATGGTTAAACTGTATTCCACCTCGAGAAAGTATACAAAGAAGATGGTTAAACTGTATTCCACCTCGAGAAAGTATAAACTGTATTTCACACTGTATTCCACCTCGAGAAAGTATACAAAATGTTAAATATTCCACCTCTAAACTGTATTCCACCTCGAGAAAGTATACAAAGAAGATGGTTAAACTGTATTCCACCTCGAGAAAGTATACAAAGAAGATGGTTAAACTGTATTCCACCTCGAGGAAGTATACAAACTGTCGAGAAGTAAGAAACTGTATTCCACCTCGAGGAAACAAAGATGTTAAACCCCACCTCGAGAAAGTATACAAAGAAGATGGTTAAACTGTATTCCACCTCGAGAAAGTATACACTGTATTCCACCTCGAGAAAGTATACGAAGAAAATGTTTTAAACTATAATGCACATCATCCAAACACATACTTCTTCTCTAGATATTTCTACACCATAACAAACTCTAGATAGAATCTCCCTGATGTTTAGCCCTACAACCCTTCTCACCCTGACGCACCCTTCACCTCCCTCACCCTGACCGGGGCCCCCTCGACGTATCTCGCCCCTTGGCACCCTACGTCCGTATCACTATGGTGGCCATTCTTAATGCTGTCATGCTATTATTAGCTCTTCTTCTATGGCTGTGGACTTATCAAGCTACCCTTGGCAGAGGCAACGTCGTAATTAATTGCTGGCCCTTATTGCATGCAGATATTAAGCACAGGATTTTATTAGCATCTTCATGAACATATCGTTGTACTTTAACTATTCATTTTCGCATTTCTTCTGCGAGGACATTACTGTACGGGAGTGTTTTGGGTGGAAATGTGTAAACGTTTGTAAATCTTACGAAAAAAATATATGAAGCGTGCAGATCAATCACCTTTTGCCTCTGACACTAACAACCACGTAGGCAACATAGGCCTACATGCCGCATATCGACACCTAATCAAAAAGGACGCCAGTAAATTCCTCATCTACTTCAAAGTCCTGTGAGCGCGCGAGTTAAGACCTCTCAGCCAAGACGCACACAAGACTTATCACACACACGCATCAAAAAAGAACCGAGACAGCAAGACGTGTACATCTCGCCCGGGCGCCGCCAGCGGTTTGCCGGGGAATATAAACAAAAATAGGAGACCTCTGCATTTCAGACTGACAGCTGGGTACAGTCATCCCGCCTATAAATAAGATTAGTTTTTAAAATGTGTCAAATAAAACCGAAGGAGTAACGGCTACCGAATGCTATCAATAAACCATGTATTTCGCTTCAAGTCGTTACAGAAAGCATAGGCAACTAAAGAGCGGAATTGATAAATATTAATTCGGTAGTTAGCTCAAGGTGTGGGGCGGTACCTCGTCTCTCTCCGCACCCTCCCACATGTGGTGCATGACGTCACGGCCTGCCAGTACACCCGGTAACAGTCAACGTACACGTGCTCCCAATCCCCCCCCTCCCCCCACCCTCCAACCCCACCCAATCCCAGACGACAAAAACACGAGGGCGGGATTTCGACGCAATGCCAGATTTAACCGATTTCTTCCCCTTCCTCCCCGCCCGTGACAACTACGAAGACACGAAGCACCGAGAAGCACCGTACGGTTAATCTCGTAAAAAAATAAAATAACCTCCTTGCTGTCTGCTGTGCGAATCTTCCCCTCAGTGCAGACAGTTCCCAGACACACGGCTGACTCACCACAACCTCTTTCAAGACGTCACGTACACAAATAACAGCGGGGTCAACGAAGGCAAGT